AGGTTGCTCATGTATAGAAATTTATGACATTTTAAAATCCTTATAAATGTACATTAAACATAGTCTAAAAAATCTATAGTCATGTGTCTTTTGTTAATACTTTGATAAATATGAATGGAAATACAAGATTTCAAAAGTGAAAAAGATGTGCACAGTTTTCTTTACTGTATCTAGAGACAAGCCTTGGTGAGAAAAGCCCATGGAAGACAAGTTAGTCCATCCAGTCCAAGGGCTCCTGGAGATTTCCCACAGTATCATGAGCTGGTGTCTGAAGAGGTAGCCCACTATCACCTCTGAGTGTCCTCCCTGCAAGACTATGCTATCTGGCTTTCCCTGAAGCAAGATGAGGTCTGGAGTGTCTTGTTTAGTATCATAAACAATGTTTTACTCAGCAGGATGGAGTGAGTTTTCAGTAAACTTATCCATTACTGTGACCCTAGCATGACTATATGTTGATAGTACCCGATGAAATAAATCAGCTTGAAAGGGGGGATGAACATAAAATATAGTTATGCTCTCAGAGAGAGGCTTACCTGTGACAGGAAATGGAAGTCAAATCATCAAGGCAAAATAACAATAAAATACAAAGATGTAGTTTTAGTGTCATCCTAGAGTAAAATAATGAAACGAAAAATTTATTGAGGCATGTTGTGATTCCAGCTGAAGATTTTTTAAAATAAAGTTTGTGAATTTCATTAGTGGAAGCACAAAAGTACTGAAAGATATTTATAGAAGATTTCAAAAGCTTCTAAAAGTCTTGATGAACTTACCAAAAATTAGGAAAAATACTTAGGCAATTTGAAATGTTAAACTCAGAAAGAAATTATTAAACTTATTTAAGTCTTGTTACTGAAGAATGAGGAGGAAATCTACTTAGATAGGGATATAGTATGATAACATACTTATTAGAGATTATATATATATATATATATTTCAAATAGTACTTTTGAATATAAAAATTAAAGTATTAATCATATGCCACAACATTCTTTATAGTAATAGATTTTTTCAAATTCATAACTACTTTAGTTCAAATCTAGTTCAAATTCTAGATCAAATTTTGAAATAATTCATATAATGCTAAAAAAAGCTTATTTACTAAGTTGATCAGGAAACAGTCACTTTAAAAATATTGTTATTCTCAGTATTTTTTAGTTTACTTACAAATCAAGGAAAGACTCAGTAACGTGAAAGACCATCAAATAAGAAACAGTGCCGTCTAGTTTTCATAAAAGTATTGTGCTCAGAGTGCTTGTACCTTACCCATTAGGGTGTTACCAGTTTTCTCTCTGCTTGTAGAATCTGAGACTACTTGCTGGATGTCACGCAGGTGACAGTACAGTAATACTTTCTAAAAGCATTAGTTTAGTTACTTGGTTAGTTATTATTTGGTCACATCTACCACTTTTGCCTGCTTTTATTTTATTTTAGATAGCATAATTGCAATATAAAGCCTACCAAGTTATTCTTTGGCATGGCACATTACAAGACACCCAAATAAAGTCAAATGTGACATCGTAACGTGTTATGCAGTGTCTCCATGCCTGCGGCTACCACCTAGAGTAGACTTTCAGTTTTCTTCCCTACCCCATTGCAGTCAGTGGATTCTTTTCTACTCTGGGATCCTCATTGCTCTAATGGCCAACACACAGTTTGTTCCAAATAGAAATTTGTCACTTATTTTTCAATGCTTCTTAAGTCACTGCTCATAGATGACAATAACATACAAACAATTAAAACTGCACAGAGGACCCTCTCGCTAAGGCCTGCCTAGCTTCTCAGCCTCATCTGCCTGCTCTCACCTGTAGCTTTTCTGCTTTGGGTTTCTCCAAAAACAAGATGGCGGCTCCTTCCTGGGCTGAGTCAGCTCAGTCCCTTTGCTGCTTGATGAGATTCTAGGCCCCTTTCAAGTGCAAAAACCAACTGCCTCCCATTTGATTGAGAAATACCACTAAGCACTCTTTTCCTCTCTTGCCTTGATACCATGCATGTACTCTGTAGAATATCAGTCCTCAAAACCCTTTTCTAATTCAGCACTTTAAGGTAGAGGTTTTCAGTAACTGTTTGCCTGAAAGAAAGAATAGATGAAAATTACATGGAAGTTTAAAATATTAAAAACACCAGAATATTTTATAGCTATCTTTCCATCAGTTTTCTAGAAACCTTTAGACCACACCCAGACTGTAATTTATATCTATATATGGCCCAAAATATGACAACCAGATTATCCTATAATAAAAATTACTCAGAAGAAAATTGACAATGGAAGGTATAGTCTAGCTTGAAATCACTTTAAAATTTAATGATTATGTTCCTTTTATTATATTTATGAGAAAAAAATCAAGCCTGAGAAGTAAATGACAATAACTATAACAGCTAAAATAAAGTAGAAAAAAAAAACCTAAAACAAAATATACAGCTACAGAGTAAGTCTTTATAATTAGAAATACAGTGAGCTATTTGGCATGAAAACTGATAAATCAAAATGAAAACATAGTTCTTAAGTTATTTTTTGTCATCTAATTAGTATTGGAGTTTTAAGTATCTGTTATCCCTAGGCTTGAGACACCATGCTAGGTCAAATGTACATAAAAATAAATTAGCATATGGCTCATGAACTTCAAATATTCATGTTTCATCTCTTGTACTGTTTCTCTCCTCTTCCATTAATCTTTCTCTCTACCTAAGAAGGCTGCACAGAGTACTGAGAGAAGCTTTGGCTATGTCCTTTGAGTGAACTGAGTGATGGGAAAATTGGTCAGTAGATTGGAAATCCTTGTAATCATGTTGGCATCGAACTCTATGTCTCAACTTTCAGATCTTATTAATCATTTTATCATTCTAAATTTTGGTTCATATCTTGAAGTCACAGTGATCGCTTCTTGTCCTTGGGACAGTTCATTTTGAGAAAAAAATATAATGAAAATGATTTGTTTAAAAAACATTGGACTTCGACCCAACTTTGCATATTAGATGTATGCTTGTCAGTTTGTGTTAAAAAATGATGTAATATTTTTGGATTTTTTGTGGTTAGGTTATAAAATTATAATTATAAAGGCCTGACATTTGGGACATTCTCCATTAAAATAAATCTTGTTACTATTTTCAGGTATGATTGAAAGCTGTATCAGTCCAATAATTCAGTAGACATCACAGAAATTATTTCTCCTTAGACACATAATGTGTTGGTGCTGACACTTCCGAGCTGACTGTACACATCTTCTGCCTAGCAATGATGTGAGGACTTTCTCCCATTTTTCCATAATGCAGAGCAGCAAGATTCGGTACACAGCAATGGGGAAGAAGCCTGAAGCTATGGGAAATGAGGACTACTCTGGATTAAATTGTTGTGCTCAAAAAATAAAGCATGAGTCAGACCATGCCTAATTCCACAGGAAAGAGATTCGTCGCAGCAGAAAACATGTGGAACTAATTTGGTTAGAAAGGAAATATTAACATCTTGAATTCTACACAAAGACTTCTACTCCTTGGAGTTTGTTGGATCATTTCCTGAGTCCTATAATGCTCCATAAATGTAGTAGGGACATTAAAAAAGGTCAACTCAAGGATGACTATTGTTACAGTAAATGTTTGTGCTTTCTATATATTCTAAAACATCCCACATATGTGCTTTTTACTGATACAGAGTCCTGGGATTTTGCGGGAATTCAAACAAGAAGTGATATTTTCATAATGTTCTCTCAAGTTCCATTTGGCTGAAATTTGAAGCATGGCTTTAGAATAATGTATACTTGGATTGAGTCAGAGGAATATGCTTGTTTCAACAATATGGAAGTCAGCTGTTGTTTGCATAACATGAATCTTGCATTAATTTCTTCTCTCCATTGACTGGGTACTTTTTTGTCATCCAGGATTAGAGTTTGCTTTGAAGTTTGCCTTTTGTGATATTTCTTATAATTATACTGAATTTTTATACTTATATAGATCTCTGCCTTCATTTTTATTTTCTTTTGTGGCTGATACAGGAAGAATAGAATTTGTTTCTGTCCAATTCAGACTGCAGACTCAATCCTACCATTCTGTTCTATTCTGCCTTATACTCTGAGAGTTTTGTTTCTTTCCAGCTTTAGACAGAAGCTGTCTTTCCTCAGCTGTTATCTTCTATTGCGTGTGTGTATGTTATGCATTTAAAGAATCCAGTACAGATGATTATAAAAGGATCTTTGCAGACAATACAGTGATGCAGATAAATGAATAAGGGCTTTAGCCATAATCACAGCAGAATCATTATGCATTAATTAGCTCACTTAGAAAAAAAGCATCAGCCAAAGAGAATTGTCTTACAGCCAAAATAGTAATTTTATTTTTTACCTAAGATTCAATGATACTTTTCACACATGTATCTGATATTTGAAAAATGTTTCTTTTGATGTACTTTGAAATTTTTTCACAACCAAGAAATCAGAAAAACCTAAGTGCTCATCAACTGATGAACACTTAAAAAATAATATAGTACACAGATACAGTAGAATACTATTCACCCATGAAAAGCAATGAAATTGAAGTCATGTCATCTGTGCACACATGGCTGTAACTGGAGCATATTATGGTAAGTGAGATAAGATAGGGATAAAATACAAGTACTGCATGATTTCACTCAAATGGATTCCAAAAATTTGACTTCATAAAAGTGAAGATTAGAACAGATGCCCCTAGAGGCTGACAGGAATGAAAATGGAGTTTCAGGGAAAGGTTTCTTAATGGCTGCTAAGTTACAGCCTGATAAGAGAAAGAACTCTGGTTTACTTCCTACACATTACTGTGATTTTACTTAACAGTAGTGTTTTGTGCATTTCCAGAAGCTAAAGAAAGAAACTTGAAAGTTTTAAGCATGAAGCAATGATAAATGTTTAGGGAAATGAGTATTGTTTAACTTGCTTTAAACATTATGCAATATGTACATGGCATGCACCATGAAATATATACATGATTCTTTCCTGATATGTACAGATTTTACAGTTTTGTAAATCAGTTAAAAATTAAAAAGAAATGTATCTTTTTTATTTTAAAGATAATAAAATCCAACAAAACAAAACAAAACAAAATACATTCTATCAAGCAAAGCAGTGAAATTGGTACAGAACTTCAAAGCAGAATACTAGGGAAGTAACAATAGCTACCATAGCGTATTTTGTCATCTTCATGATAGTTGTCCATTCCATCAGATATAGCAAAATCAAAACAAAACAGAATAAAATCAATCAAAACAGAACATTGAATAAAGCAAAAATAGTTAATTAGAATAAGACAAAACAATGAGAATAATATTGGATTTCAAAGACAAGACAGAAGGAAATCCCCCATGTTTGCTATATTGCATACTGCTGTCCTCCCAATAGATGCTTAAACTGCTCGTCACGGAATTACAAAGTCAAGCAAAGAATGGAAGCATTCAGTTGCTTTTTGTACCTCATTCGCTATCAACTCAGCCTGTCCTCTGAAACCATCTGTTGCTTATGGGTGTGCTAGGGGAGGCATGGCTCATAGGAGATGCTGTCTGACTTTTCCTGGGCTCCCCATGGCTTGCATGGCGTACCAGAAAGGTTGGTCAGCTGGCTTCTTGGTGGGCTCCTCCTAGTCCCAGCATGGATGATTCTTGGGAGGTGCTGACTTTTCTCTTCCACAACCCTGCAAGAAGTTATCTTTTAAATTTTTTAATATTTTTTTCTTTTAAAGAATTTAAAACCAAGCAAAACAAAACAGCATGGAGCTAATCAAATTGAAACAGTGCAAGTGATACAGGATTTCAAAATAAGAATAAGAAATCAACAATGGCTACCATAATGTCTCCTGGTTAAAATAGTTACCCATTCCATCAGACATAGGAAAATCAAACAAAAAACCTGAGACTGGAAGAAATAACAAAAATGAATGTGATATAAGTCTTCAAAACAAGATAATGCTAAATGGCTACCGTAATATATCTTGCCATCTTTGAAAAAGCTGCCCATGCCATTAGATATAATAAAATCAAACAAGACAAAACCAAACTAAACAAAACAATGAAAACAACACAAGATTTTAAAACAAGACAATAGGGAATTAACAATGGCTACCATCTTCAGAAGAACATCCCTGGTGGATGCTGTACAGCATATTATCATGCTGTCAATAGATAATCAGATTACTGACTTTAGGCCTGCAAAGTCAATGAAACCCTAAATATTACAAGCATTAAGATGTGTTTTACTTCAATAGCTGTCATCTCAGCCTGTGTTTCTCCAATCATGCAGTCACTTATAGCAAGTGGGTGGAGCTTGACTCTTTTTGTCTCCTAGCCTGCATGCCAGAAGGGGCTGGCATCTGGTTCTGTACCCCACAGCCTGTGCATGGCACTGATTCACAGGAAGAGGCTGGCTTCTTGTTCTCCTCCGTTTGGCCCATGAATGGCACTTACTCACAGGAAGGGGCTGGTGTCTTGTCCTCCTGCCTGCACCTGTGCACGGTACTGACTCACAGGAAAGGCCTGGCTTCTTCTCCCTGCAATCTGTGAATGGTGTTGACTTTGAAATGTATTATTTTAAACATTAATCTTCTAGTTATATTTTTCTGAAGTTCATGAAGTTTACACTCTATGGATCTTAGAAAACTATATTTAAATTGCATTATGTAATGGTATATATTTGTTGCACTATGTAATGGTGTATCTATTCACAAGAAGAAATGATCACTTTTTTATTTAAAGAGAAAAACAAAACAAAATGAAACAGTAAAAGGGTACAAGTAATACAGAATTTCAAGGAAAAAATATACAGTAAGAAATCACTAGTTAATAGATTGCATATTGTCATCTCAGAAACTGTTGTCCAGATTACAAAATTAAAGCATACAAAGTGGACATTAATACAGTGAGACTGCAGACAGTTCTATTCAATGATCCAACAAAAACTCAGTAATATGGTTTTCTATCCTATCAACTTAAATATACATGCAGTTATATCCTTTAGATCACTTTCTTTTCCTCTTTTTTATGATAACAATTACACATTTTGGGTTTTATTACTCCTACAGTTCTTACGTTATGCACACTATATGCTTGTTTGCACACACCCATACATACAAATTATTTCAAAGTGCAATATGTGTAAGCACCAACTCCCAATCATGAATATATTATGTATTCCAAGCATGTATGAATAGCTTTTTAAAATAAAATACAATTTATTTTGTTTATTGATCTTATAACCTGCAAATTTGCTGAGCTCATTTTAGAGTTCTAGTAGTATTTTCAGTGGATTCCTATGTGTGCACCTTTTCTGAAGACCGGCTGTTGATGTGCAGCCTGCTAATGTAGCACTGTCTACTTTCTTTTCTCTGCCTGACCCCAGGGCTAAACTGGATTTCTCAGCTTTTAGTTTTCTTTTCAAGTGTAGCCATAGAAGTAAACTCTATGGAAATAGAAAATGATTGGAAGTGATGTTCACTTCTTTTGGATAGGTTCTCAATTTTTCTAACTATCCTATAATATATCATCTTCTTTATCTGCATTCAGTGATAATGATGCTGTAAAACATTTTGAGGTGTGAGAAAACCATAGATGTTACACATCTAAAATATCCAGAACTCAGACTATGTAAAGTAGTTCCTCCTGAGCTGTGTGGATTCTGCCTCCTCCCCCCCCCCACCCCATTGATATAATGAAACTCTACTCCCCTTGCCAGAGCATTTGAAGATAGGGCTTTTAGGTGGTAATTCAAAGAATGTCTAAGAATCTAGATAAACCTTATTCTGAGAGGATCACATACATACAGAAAACACGAAGATATAGAAAGTAATTTCATTTTCTACTATTATGAATGTAGCTCTAATGTAATAAGGTTGATCACCATAAAAGGAAAGATGAAAAAAATAGAGAAAGGAAAAAAGAAAGAAAGAAAGAAAGAAGTAAAAGAAAAAAAAGAAAAGAAAAGAAAAGAAATCATCTTCTCCACCATTCAAGGTATAGAGAAATGGTTGTCTTCTATAAGCCAGAGCGAGACCTTGTGGTAGAGTGAATTGGCCTGAATGTTGTTTGTGGACTTCTAATATCTAGAACTGTGAGAAAATAAATTCTTACCACTTAATCCCTCCATGCTATGGTACTGATTATGGTTGCTCAAGCTCACTAAGTCATACTCTCACAGTGCTAATCTGTTCTAGACCATGACCTGCCTGGACAATGAAGCTAAATTGCAGGAAGCCAGTAAGAATTGCAATTGTTTGCTAAAGCAGTCAACCTGCTGTGACTAATGTGGTAACAGAAGAAAATATGTGGGAAGATACTAACACAAGAACACAGGACAGCCTCTGTGGGGTTGTTTTAACAAAACAAAGAACCCGTTGAAGGCAGGATTTACCACAGAATTTAAGTATACATTAAGGTTCCTTGAGAAAGAAAACAGTTGTTATGTTTATATATATATATATATATATATATATATATATATATATAAAATATATATTTTTAATTTAGAATTTTTTACATTTAGAAATTCTTTGAGAAAATGTTCTTAGCGTATGTAAGGATGAAAACAGATTTAGCAATTATGAGTACTGAGAAGCACACTGTTTGTTTTTAAATAGTTGTCAAAACAAAAAAATCAAAGTAAACTATGAATAGAAGAATATATCCTAGCAAGGACACTTGCGGTTTGTGGAGTTCAAGAAAAGAACAAGAAAGATTAGCTGAGGTACTGCACACAAACTTTTAAACAAGAAAATTATGCTTGACAAGGAAAGCCTCTGTAAACCATGGTTACAATTTCCCATTGGCAATTTTGTTCTTCATTTTTCAAGTAAGAGTATCTTTTCAATAGTTCAGTTCTTAAGAGAGAGAATACGGTTGACATATTTGAGCCATTACATTCTATGGAGGTTTTTACATTAGCAGTTTGGAACATGAGAATTTGATAGTTTATTAGTTAAAATAGAAGATGTCCTCAAATCTTGGTGATTATACAAAGCCATGTAAACAGACAGAATGACGGTTTCCAGAAGTGCTCATTTCCTAATTTCGGAACCGCTGAATATGTTACCATGGAGATTTGTAGATGCCATTTAGCCAAGAATCCTGAGATGCAGAGACATCCCGTCACATCTGAGCTAGCCCAGTATCATAACCAGGCTCTTTATATGAGGAAACGATAAGAATGAAAGTTAAAAGCAGAGACAGTGATACAGACAGAAGCTGAGTGATGTGATCATGGACTGGTAATGTGGGTCCTCTAGCAATTGCTAGAACCACGAAGCCCATCACGCCCTGGAGCCTTCAGAGAGAATTCAGATGGGCACACAGCTTGATTTCTGCCCCTGAAGACTTCTACTCTTCAAAACTGTTACGACTACTTTTATTTTTTATATCATTAGATTTTAAGAATTTATTATAGCAGCAATAGGAAATAAAAGCAAGAGTTTCCTTTTTGTTTAAATCACAAAACAAATTCAGAGATGATTGTTTTCTCCTTGTGGTCATTTATGTCTTCAACTTGATCTCTGCCCTGCTGCTTGTGTTATATTTTATAAAGTAATCTTTATCAGGTCTTTTCACTACTTTCTGGAATATTTCCTCGAGTTGATCTTCGAAATTATTTAAAACTGTTTTGCCACATTTTGATTACATTAATTAAAAAAGTAATGTTGTTTTCAGACAGGTTTTTCTTTGTAGCCCAGAATAGTCTCAAATTTCTCTGTAGCCAAAGTAGCTTTGAATTTATAATATCCCACTATTAACTTCTCAAGTGCTAGGATTATAGTTGTGCACTTTTGCACCGGCCAATTTCAAGCACATATGTAATAGTAGTGTTTTTTGAACACTGTTATAAATAATTAGTAAAATGAATAAATGATTCATAGCAGTCATAAATAGAAAATTAAGTAGTGTACATAAAGTATTCAGAAAAGACTACTCATCATAAGAATTGGATATTTACTTAAAATTCTTTGCATTTGGGATTATAGCAATAAATAAATCTTTTTTTTCAAGAAAAAGTGATCAAAAAGTGAGTGAGATACTAATTTTACCTTTGGAGTGCACAATTGTACGAGAAAAATGGACCTCTGTAGAAATGGTCATACAATATTATGTACATGTTAGAAATTAAAGGAGAATGTTTTGCTATGTATATCCATGACCTTAAAAGTAATGTCTTACTCAAATTTATAAGATGATAACACGCCATGCATTTTCACAAACCTTCTTGTGAGAATTTTATTTACTAAAGTGGACATCCAAAATCAACTGAAGTTTCCACTTGAGTAAAACTAAAAATGTAATTTAAAATTCACTGTAGTAATTTCAAGAACCATTGCCAATTTCAGTCTTTGGTTTTGTTATTTCAACTTTGTGGGTCTTTGGAGCTTGCCAAAGTATTAAAGTATTATTATTTTATATAATTATGGTTCAGTGAAATTGGCATACTACAAAGAATGTTTCAGTATATCTGAAATTAGGTGACTCTTACCCACTAATTTTAAGAGATGTGCCAAATTTTTCTTTGAAACATATGGATAAATATTGAAGCATTATTTCAAAAGAATTATTTAGCACCTCGAGAAGAATTGTTATTGATGCATCCTGTTTTCTCATATGGTATATATTACAGAATTTTAAACTAGTATTATAATGATTATTACCAAGGATATCATAAAAA